CCAAATTCTTGGCTACCAAAATGCCACTGGCTTGGGAGGACCTGGAGCTGGAGAGGAAGAAAAACTCCCTGTTGCCTGTGACTCACAGGCTGGTTGGGGACACAGCTCTGCTCAGCAGGGCAGGTCCCAGCCCAGCAGCCTTGCCTGGGGTGAAGCCTGGGGGGGGGGACACTGCAGCATTTGTCCTCCTGGTTGGGAAATGAGGGGGCTCCTGTACTCCAGAGATGGCCAGATGTGCTTCAGCTGATCCTCCAGGTGAGCAGGAGGTGGTGGTGGCCTCTGAGGGAAGGAGCAGTGGGTTTGTCTCTCCTGCAAGGTTGCTCTGCCCACCTGAGATGAGGCAGGGTTTGAAGGAGCCTCAGCTCCTTTTCCCCATAGCCCCCCTAAAGAGAAACTCCTTCCAGAAGTGGCTGAACCCTCCTGGGCAACCCCAGCACCACCCCAAAGTCCTTTCCTTTGGGAATGTTCCCACCTCCTGGGCAAATTGATGCAGCCCAGAGCTGCCTGACCCACCCAGAAGCCCCAAGGTCCTCAGCCTCCCCACCCTGCTGAGGTGCCATTCCCATGCTGAGCCCCCCCCAGGACTGGGGTTCCCCCACCCAGGGGTGGGATGGCAGGACTGGGCTGTGGTGCTACTGGCCTTCCCAGTCCAGCCCTTAGGGCTGATCCCAAGGACACCACATCCAGCACAAAGTCCAACTCCAGGTGAGGACAGAGGGTCTCTCAGGGGGGACATTGCAGCTGGGAGAAGACACAAGTACTAACTGACTGTATTTTATTAGTGACATGAAGGTGGGGAAGGGGGATCCCAGTCTGCTCCACATGCCTTTGCAGACAACGGAGGGCTGAGCATCCTGGTGCTCCAGGGCACCCAGAGCATCCCCTGGCACGGTGGGGTCCCTCACAGGGACACGGGGTGGTCACCAAGGAATAGCTTTACCTTCCCAGTTGAGCAGGGTCCCATTGTGCTTCTCAGAGAGGATGGGCAGGACAGAGAGCAGCCCCCGCACGCTGGTGTCCACCGTCAGCTCAGCCTGCAACGGGCACGAGTGAGGAGCAGGACTGGGATCCCACCAGCATTCCCAGCCACCCACCAGCATTCCCAGGATCCCACCAGCACCTGCCCAGCTCGTGCACCTCAGCTCCTTCCACCCAGGTGGAGCGGAGAGCCACAGGAGGTGGGACGGGGCTGCAGCTGGGAGGATGGCTGGGGATCCACGTGCTCGTGGATGGCTTGGGCAGAGGTGGCTTGTGCTGGGAAGCCAGAGATAGGCTTAAACCCATGGGACATGGAAGAGATAGGATGAGGGGAATGGTTTTAAGGTGAAAGAGGAGAGATTTAGGTTGGACATGAGGAGGAAACTCTTTGCTGTGAGGGTGGTGAGAGCCTGGCCCAGGTTGCCCAGGGAAGCTGTGGCTGCCCCATCCCTGGCAGTGTTGAAGGGCAGGTTGGATGGGGCTTGGAGCAACCTGGGCTGGTGGGAGGTGTCCCTGCCCATGCAGGGGGGTTGGGAATGGATGATCTTGAAGGTCCTTTCCAACCCAAACCATTCAATGATTTCACCCCTAAGATCCCAGCAGCAAGCAGGACACAGCCTTCTCAAAACCCCAGGGTTGCAGGGTCCAGCCCCACCCCGGAGGATCCTGGTTGGATGGGGCTTGGAGCAGCCTGGGCTGGTGGGAGGTGTCCCTGCTCATGCAGGGGGGTTGGGAATGGATGATCTTGAAGGTCCTTTCCAACCCAAACCATTCAATGATTTCACCCCTAAGATCCCAGCAGCAAGCAGGACACAGCCTTCTCAAAACCCCAGGGTTGCAGGGTCCAGCCCCACCCCGGAGGATCCTGCAGGATGAAGGGAGATCTCTTGGGCCTGCAGCTCTCCCAGGAAGAGAGGGCAGGGTGGGACAGTGCTGCTCCTCTCCTCCCTGCTCTGGCAGACTTAGCTTCTCTGCTCATCTCCAAGGTGCCCATGGACAGGCCTCCTGCCCACCCTGGGTATGTGCTGATGCCATTTCCCAGGCAGCACCCACAGGTTCCTCCAGGGCCCAGCACAGACACACATCTCAGGCAACTTGCAGCCTGGGAGACAACTCATCCTTGCATGGATCCCTCCCCACAAGAGCCATCCCAGCCACCAGAGGCACCTGCATGTTTGCAGGCCTGGGTCCCACCCGTGGGTCTCCACCTCAACCCAACCCAGCTGGAACCCACCTCCTGGGTGCCCATGTCTGTTTTCACCCAGCCAGGGTGAAGGGCCACGCAGAGGATCCCAGCATCCCTGTAGGTCAGGGCCTGGCACTTGGTGAGCATGTTGAGGGCAGCCTGGGGGAGGAAGGAACCATCAGCCACGGGCAGGAGAAACCTCCAGGCACCAGGGTCCTCATGGCAAGGGAGAAGCAGCAAGGCCAGTTCTTCAAGAGATGATGCCCTAGGTGGGCAGCAGCTGGGCACAGGGATGGCCAGGGAGCCTGGGCAGCATGGAGAAGTCCCTCCATCCCAAGTGCTGTCCCCCCTGAGTCCCAGGCAGGGGCAGGTCCCCCCCTCCATACCTTGCTGCAGCGGTAGGAGATGACAGGCTTGAAGAAGGACTCAGCAGTCCTCTCGATGGACCCCATGACAGAGGAGATGTTGATGATGGCTGCCCTGCTGCAGCTCAGGCCCTTTTCTGTGCTCTCCTGGGCAGCCTTCTTCAGCAGGGGCAGGAATGCCTGGGGAGAAGCAACCTGGTGGACCTGCTGTGCCTTCCAACAGCCCCACCTGTAGCACCTCCAACCCAGCCTGCCTACAACAGGGAGGATGAGGAGGAGCAGCAAGGAGCCAGGAGAGCCCAGGTATTCTGCTGCAGCGGCCCCACCTGTTCCCAGTTTGCCCAGCACAACACAGCTGGGCTTGGGTAGGGAGCACAGCCCTGGGAAAGCTGGCAAAGCCCTCTGAGATCCCCGTGGATCAGCCCAGACCACCCTCCAACCGGGCTCGATTCCCCCTCCACGCTGAGCTCCGTCCCCAGAGCTTCACCCCTACCTGTGCCATCAGCAGCGGCCCCACCGTGTTGGTCTGGTAGGTCCTCATCATGTCCTCAGCATCCACCCCCTCCAGGGAGGCCGTGGGGGTGTAGATGGCAGCGTTGTTGATGAGCAGGTTCAGGCCCGCCCCGTCCAGCCTCCCCTCCACCACCTTGGCCGCCTCGGTGATGTCCGAGGGGTTTGCAACATCTGCCGGGGGAGAGAAGAGGGGTTGGGAGCCCACCAAGGGGGGTTGGGGGGCCTGGGGAAGAAGGAAGAGGTGGGGATGCTGAGGAACAAGCCACCCGCCCCGTCCTGCGTGGTTTTCCACCCGTGGGCACCAGATGGTGCTGTGCAACCAGCTCCGAGCGCCCCGGCACCCGCAGCTCACCCCAAAAATGCCTCCCTGGCCACGCACCGGGGTCCCTTGTCCCACCGCGGGGTCCTGCCCCGGGACAGCCCCCCCTGGGCAGAGCTGCTCTGGGGAACAGCCCCGTGGGGGCAAAGTGCTGCTGGGAATCCCGTGCCAGGTCACAGCGGGCAAAGTCCATCCCTGAGGAAGCTCTGGAGAGCCCAGGGCAGTCCCTGGAATTGGGGGGGTTGTGCTGGGACCTGGATGGATGGCTCTGCGAGGTCCTGCAGCTCTTGCCCAGGCTCTGGGCTGGTTGTAGAGTGTTCCCATAGGATCTGCCTTCCTAGAGGAGCCATCCTGGTCTTGCCTGGGTCTTGGGATCAAGGCAGCTCCTTGGCATGGCACAGCCAGGGCAGAGCCCCCAGGCTGGGGGAGCTGGAGCCTGCCCAGGGGGGGGCTCAAGGACCTGCTGGTCCTGTGGCCATGGGGCAAGGAGGCTCCAGGGTGAGGTACCAGGGCTGAGACAGCTCTGGAGGAGCTGGGCTTTTAAGCTGCAGGACTCGAAGCAGCTCTGAAGAACTGGATCCCTGAAGGCAGGGAAGGGGGGAGGAAGGGAAGGAGAAGTGGGGCAAGTCTGGCCAGCAGCCACAGTTTCCAGCTGGGCAGCAGAGGGCACCTACCCAGCTTCACAAGAACCAGGTTTGGGTGTTTGGAGGCCAGATCTCTCAGCTCCTATCAAAAGAGACATGGAAAAGTGATCAGCACGAGGCCGAGGGGATCCCAGGGCACCAGAGATGGCCCACCCTGAAGGAAACATCTTCCAGATGTCATCACAGAGTCATAAAATGGTTTGGGTGGGAAGGGACCTTGAAGTTCCAACCCCCTGCGTGTTCCTCGGCTCCTGCCTGGGCAGCTGATGCTTTGCTGCTGTGATTTCCTGCTGCAGCCCCAGGTCGGGGTGTCCCCTCCCTTCCAGCAAAGTGAAAAGCCGGGGCAGGAGGACCCCCCAGCTCCTGGGACCACCGGGCAGCAGCCCCCCCAGCTCCCACCCACGGCTCAGAAGTGCCCAGAGCAGCGTGGCTGCAGTTCCCACCACCTCAACCACCAGCCCTGCTCAGCCCCAGAAGCCCCTGAAGCCTCGTCACCCTCCGGGCTGCCCCACAACCGGGGTGACCCCCACTTTGACGGGTGACCCGGCGTGTGTCCCCC